CAGGCCCTGGACCAGCTCTGGCTGCTGCCGGGACCCCACAGGAGGCTCCCTGGGGAGGGACGGGACAGCCAGCACCCCCATCATGGGGCTCTGGCCCTGCCCAAGGGCCTTTCCCAGCTGCTGCTGCCAGCACAGCAGGGGCTGTAGCAGGGGCAGGGGCTGGTCCCTTCCCAGCCTCACACAGCCCTGCTGCAGGACCAGCCCCGTGGATCCCATGGCACAGGGACGACCAGACAATCGCACCTTGGGCTCTTGGATGCTACAGCTTAGGAGATGCTCAGTGCTCCCACAGCAGGCTGCAAGGGGTGTCAGAGCCATCTGCCCCCACACCCAGCCCTACCCCACGATGATGTCCCACCGCAGTGACGTGAGACCCGCAGCGGAGCCGTCCCTCATATATGGTCATGATCAGTGCTGGAGAAGTTCATTGGAGAGCTGGGCTGCGTCGGAGGGGAGATAAGTGCCGATAACGTCTAAAAAGGTGCCTGCTGCTTCGATTGGCTCCTCCTGCAGCTGGGACAGCATCTGCACAGATATATTGCCCTCCCATCATCGCCATTGCCCCGTGGGTCCCCAGGAGCTCCAGCAGCAGGGCTGTGCTGTCAGGACAGGAGCCTCAGGATGGGGGCAGAGGGACTCCTGTCCCTTTGGGTGCTGTGGCTGTTCCTCTGGGTGCAGCCTTGCAGAGGTAAGTGCCAGCTTCTCTGTTCCATAGCCTTGGGACTGTGAGCAGCAGTGGGGTCATTGGGATCTCTCTGGGAGTGGGCTTGTTTTCAGGCACCACTGAAATGAGAGGGAGAAGGTGCTCAGTCTCTCAGCTCTGTTCTTTAATCTGTGCCTGTCTGGGTGGGAGGGGGTAATCCATTTTCATATCTCTTATGTTTTTGGCAGCCCAAGCCTGACTTCATTTCTAGACACCTTGTCCTTGGGTACCTTTCTGGGACCCCTTGTTCCCCAGCACTGTGCCTCTGGATCTAGAGGAGTCCCAGACAGTGAGGGTGGTTCTCAGTGATCTCCAGGGCACAGCCAATGTCTGGGGTGCCCCAGAGGGGTTGTGTGCTGTTCCCTGCCCCTGGGATCTGGGGAAGCACTGACTCCAGGAGGGCAGGTTTTGTCCCATTAACAGAAGGGGACTGAGGCATCTGCACTGAGAGGTGTTCTTCTTGGGGGGCCCTGGTCAAGCACAGGGGCCAGTCTGACAGCAGGGATGGGGAAGGGACGTGGGCTGTTGGTATCCTTGTGGTCAACCCAGACAGTGGGTTTGGGAGGTGCCTGTGGCAGACAATGGGCAATGGAAGCTGCTCAAGGGGCATGGGTCTGTTTGGGGGACAATGGGAAGGGGAAGAGTGGGAGCCCTGTGCAGGGCTGGGGGTTGTGTGGGGGTGGGCATGGGTGGGGGCAGGGTCCGCTGGGGTGGGAGGAGGTGGTGAGGGCTGTGGAGCAGCAAATGGCCCAGGAGGGCTAGAGCTGGGTACCCCCAGACCAGCATAGCCCATGGGGAGAGGAGGAACCCTCCGCTGCCCCTGAGACAGCCTATGGGGACAGGGATCCCACCCTGGGAATTGGGAGTCTGCCTGGGGAGGGGGACCTCACGGACACGCAATGTGGGGCTCAAAACTCTCCTGACCCTTCCTGTGTTGGTGTTTGAAGGGGCTGCGGAGGTGAGGCTGGTGGATGGCGGCAGTCGCTGTGCTGGGAGAGTGGAGGTGAAACATCAGGGCCAGTGGGGGACCGTGTGTGATGACTACTGGGACAAGTCCGATGCTGCAGTGGTTTGTAGGCAGCTGGGCTGTGGGGTTGCTCTCGAAGCTCCTCCATATGCACACTTTGGGCCAGGATCTGGTTCCATTTGGATGGATGATGTTAAATGTCATGGCACCGAGTCTGCCCTGTCTGACTGCACCCACAGGGGATGGGGTCAAACAGACTGCGATCACAGGGAGGATGCTGGAGTGACATGTTCAGGTAAGGACTGAATTTGATCCCTTCCTCTGGGTCCAGGAATGTTGTAAAGGACCTTTAAAGGACTGTTGTAAAGGATCTCAGGAAGCAACAAGTGGACACCAGAACATGGCTCTGTGTGTCAAGTTGCACTCTGAGCTGGGTCTGTCACTGCTGGTGTCCCTTGTCCCTGGGGAAAGCCCAGCACACTGAACCTGACCCTGAAGCTGGAGCAGCCAAGCCTGGGGAGGTGCCTGGCGCTGGGAGAGGAAAGCCTCCACCCTCCAGCTCTGCCAGCCACCAGCAGCCTCAGGGAAGGGCAATGGCCCAGGACTTATGGGTTGTACCCCCAGTAGCCCAAGAGATAAAGTGGCTGGGGGCTGGGAGAGAGGGCAGATCATGGGTATTGGGCTGGATTCTGAGGAGCAGCAGGGGGGCCCTGACCTCTTTGTGCCATCAGCACCCACTGAGAGCTGCTGGGCTGGCCGTGGGGCTCTGCATGTGGCCACCTCAGGGATAAGGTGGGAGGTGGGCATGGAAGTGCCAGAGGGCTCTGGGAACTCACAGCTCTCCTTGGTTGCTCCAGGATTTGTCCGGCTGGTCGGAGGGGAAAGCCCTTGCTCAGGAAGTCTGGAGGTCTACGACAGGGACCAGTGGAAAGCTGTCTGTCACTCCCACTTTGGTGCCAAAGCTGCCGAGGTGGTGTGCAGGGAGCTGCAGTGTGGCACAGCCCTGTCTGTCCATGGGGCAGCTCAGCTGGGAGAAGGGGCCGGTCCTGTCTGGGACAGAGAGCTGCAGTGTGTGGGGAATGAATCCACCATCCTCTTCTGCCCCTGGGGGGCCTCCAAGGACAAGGCCTGCACCCACAGCAATGGCACTCATGTCACCTGCACACGTAAGGACTAGGGGAGGGATGATGTCCACGGGGGCTGTGGTGGGGGCATGAGAGCAGGGTGGGCACTGGGCTGTGCTGGGTGGGGGACAGGTGGGGTGAGGTGGTGGTCTGCAGCCCTAAAATTAGAGTGATGCAGGAGGAGAAAGGCACTCTGTCCCTTTGGCCTCTCCTGCAGCTCCTGTGGGAACAAGAGCACAAATGTGGCCTCTCTCACCCTCCTTTGTCCCCAGAGTACACAGGGTTCAGGCTGGTGAACGGCAGCACAGCGTGTGAGGGCAGGGTGGAGGTGGACGTGCTGGGGACATGGGGGACCCTCTGTGCCTCCCGCTGGGACCTCTCGGATGCCCATGTTCTGTGTCGGCACCTCGGCTGTGGCTTTGCTGAGTCCATTCCTGGAGGAGGGCATTTTGGGAGAGGAACCGGCCCCGTCTGGAGAGACTCGTTCCACTGTGACGGGACTGAAGCCCACCTGGGGCAGTGCCCGGTGACTGCCCTGGGGGCCTCGCCGTGCTCCCAGGAGAACGCTGCTGCTGTCATTTGCTCAGGTGAGTGCTGGGCAGTGCTGCAAAGTCCATTTGCCCCTGGTGTGTGACACGGCCACCCACAGCTGGGGACCCCACGGCAGCACCAGGCTGAATTTCTGCTCTCACCAGGCCCGGTTCGCAACATGTCTGTACGGTTGGTGGGCGGAGGGAGCCGGTGCGACGGGCACGTGGAGGTCTTCCAGCACGGGACGTGGGGCAGAGTCCTGGATGAGCAGTGGGACATGCAGGAGGCCAGCGTGGTGTGTCGGCAGCTGCAGTGCAGAGAGGCAGAGGCAGCCTACACCCCCGTGAGGGCCGAGCGAGGACGAGGACCTGTGGGGCTGCGTGGGGTGCAGTGTGCAGGGCACGAGGCTGACCTGAGCCTCTGCAACACCTCCCTGCCTCAGAGCATGCCAACAGAAGGGATCATGGAGGACGTGGGGGTCGTGTGCCAGGGTGAGTGGTGCTGCACGTCCCACAGGTGCTGGTCCGGGAGGGCAGCCAGCCCCTGACGGCCGGGGTTCTCCCCGCTGCAGGGAGCCGGCGCGTCCGGCTGGTGGACGGGGCCGGGCGCTGTGCTGGGAGAGTGGAGATCTACTACCAGGGGCGCTGGGGCACCGTCTGCGACGACACCTGGGACCTGGCCGACGCCGCCGTCGTTTGCCACCAGCTGGGCTGCGGAGGGGCCCTGGAGGCAGCCGGCTCTGCTCGGTTTGGGGAGGGCTCCGGGCAGATCTGGCTGGATGGCGTCAACTGCTCCGGGGCTGAAGCTGCTCTCTGGGACTGCCCTGCCAAGGCCTGGGGGCAGCACAGCTGCGGGCACAAGGAGGACGCTGGAGTCATCTGCTCAGGTTTGTGCTGGGAGTGGGGAGGGGAGCTGGGGACAGTGAGGCTGGGGCAAGGGTAGAGCCAGGTAGGGCCAAGGCCATCAGTGGCTGACACCCAACGACGTCCCTGGGGCCTTTCCTCCTTTCAGAGTTCATGGCCCTGAGGCTGGAGAACAATGACAGCTGCTCCGGGCGCCTGCAGGTTTTCTACAACGGGACGTGGGGCAGCGTTTGCTCCAACTCCATGACCACCGAGACGGTGTCACTGGTGTGCAAGGAGCTGGGCTGCGGGAATGAAGGAGATCTGGAAACAGATTCTAACTATGCCAAGCTGTCTGGCACCGCATGGCTGGATCACGTGGAGTGTGGGAAGAGCAACAGCTCCTTCTGACAGTGTCCCTCTGCTTCCTGGCATCCACAGTCATGTACTGACAGCCGAGATGAGGCCAATATCACCTGCAATGGTAAATCTGAGCCATCAAGCTACCAGGTCCTGTTCCCCAGTCGGTATGGTGAAATGTAGAGAAGGAACCCAGAGGGGCTTTGGCTTCCTGCATTAGACCCTGTTGCTGCTGGTGGCACAAAGGTGACTTCAGCTATTGGAGCCACCCATGTCCACCAGCAGCAGTCAACAGCAGGGCTGCCAGCAGCTCCCTGGGGGATGCAGAGGCAACTCCAGGCAAGGTCTGAGAGGAGACCATGCAGGGCTTTCAGGAGTCCCCCCTCCTGGGACAGCCTCCTGCTGCTCTATGAACCAGGGACCTTGTGGGGCCAAGCACTTGGGTGCCCCCTGCAGTACTGTGTGTGTCCCCTGAGTGAACAGGGTTCTGCTGCTGCCCTGACCCAGGCAGCATGGGGACGTGTGAGCAGAGGTCAGCTCAGCTCTCTTCTGCACGACCCCCAGAACAACCCTTTTCAGCCCAACTTCTCTTTCCTTTGGGACATGGACAGAAAGGCCACAGGTGGCTGCATGCCCCAACTCCACCAGCTGCACAGGTAGGGAGCTGCCCCTGCGCGTGCCCCCTCACCTGGCAGGGCTGTCCCAGCTGTCCCGATGCCACGGGAGATCTCTGCCTCCCCAGACAGGGAGAAGATCCGTGCCGTGGGAGGCAAGGACGGCTGCTCGGGCAGAGTGGAGATCTGGCACCATGGCACCTGGGGGACACTGTGTGACAATGCCTGGGACATGCGGGATGCCGAGGTGGTGTGCAGGCAGCTGGGCTGTGGCCCCGCGGTGTATGCCCTGGGCCAGGCTGCTGCTGGAGAGGGGACGGGCCCCATGTGGCTGATGGAGTGCAGGGGGACGGAGCTGTCTCTGCAGGACTGCTGGGCCCAGCCAGGGGACAGCGCTGCCTGCCAGCATAAGGCAGATGCGGCTGTGCATTGCTCAGGTGAGCAGTGGGGCTGGGACACATGGCTGGGGGCTTGGCAAGGAGCTGGCTTGGGCATCTGCCCTGATGGATCCTGCTGCTGGCCTGAGCAAGGGTGTTCCTGCAGAGTGGGAGGCTGGTGGTGGGTGGGGAGCAGCCTCTGTGGGGCTGAATGTGCCAACAAGTCCCCTGGGCTGCCTGCACTGTCCTGTGAGCAGCCCAGAGCAGTGGTGCTGGGCCCTGTCGTTGCCACCCTGCTCAGCCCCACAGGAGGGACAATTCAGGTGGCACATGTTGGGGTCATCTGCCAGGGAGGCTGCCTGGTGCCACAGCCCCAGCCTCTCAGCCCAGCTCTCCTTCTGCTCCCCTGCAGCTGCACCCAGGACAGCAACACCCCCCCCACAAGCAGGTAAGCTGTCCTTCCCCTGGGCTGAGTCTGCCCACGGACAGGCTGTGACCCACATCCAGGGGAAGGGGCTCCCTGTTGGGCTGTGAGACTCCCAGGAAATTGAGAGAGCTGGGGGAAGTCTGTGATGTACCCAGCAGGGTGGGAGCTGCCCCATCACCCAGCCTTGTCCCCCCCAGCCCCTGCTGCCTTGTGTGGTCAGGAGTGGTATGTCCTGCCTCCAACCTCTCCCTTGCTGCCCCTGCCGTGTTCCTGCCCATGCAGATTCCCCACGGGGCCGTCCGACCACCAGCAGCGAGGGACTCTCTTTGCCTGTCATCATCTGCATCATCCTGGGGGCCCTCCTCTGCCTGCTCCTGGCCCTCCTGGCTGGGCAGGTGCGAAGTGCCAGGGCTCGGCGCAGAGGTGGGTCCTTCCCCAGTGGTCCTGGGGGGGAGATGCCTCCTGGCAGGGCTGGGGGTGCTGGGGGTGTTGGTGTCCTGGGACACAGAAACAGAGCCGTGTGCTGCCTCCTGCCCCATGTGCTGCCCCACTGACTGACAGACCATGGGGCACCAACATCAAGGGGTGGAGAGAGCCCAGACCCTGAGGCATCAGTTCTGGGTTGAAGAGAGAAATGTGAGAGCTGGGCTGGGTGAGAAGGGGAGGATGCACTGCTGGCAGTGCTCTGGGCAGCTCTGGCAGGAGGAGCATGGGGCAGCGGAGTCCATCACCGTGGTGTCAGCCACCTCCCAGCAGGGCACAGGCTGTGCTATTGATGTGTGGGGCAGAGATGGAGCAGCTCCATGGGAAGGGGAAATGATGGAATTGGTGCAGGGTCTGCACTGGGACATGACCCAGGGAACAAAGGGGCACAAGGGCTGTCTCCAAATGCGAGACTGACTCTGCCCCAGACCATCTCCATGGGGATGCTGCCGTCCCTGGGGATGTGGTTGCAGTGCCAACACAACACAGAGGGGCTGTGCTGTGGGGACAGCCCTGTGCTGGCCCCGATAATGGGGCTGCGGGAGCCCAGTGGGGTCCTGTCCCTCTCTGCCCATTCCCAGACCAGCCGTGCCTCTGTCCCCAGGCTCCAGGAGAGCTGGGGAGCCCTTCCCTGAGGCCGTGTACGAGGAGATCGCTTATAGCCTGGCCTGGGAGAAGCAGGCGAGGTTCAGTCTCTCAGGTGGGTGCAGGTAACCTGCAGGGGCACATCTGCTGTGTCCATTCTCCCTGTCTCACACCAGGGCTGTGCCCTGCAGCTCCTGCCCATGGTCCCTGAAATGGTTGGACCATGGGGTCCGTGGGAGAGCATCCAGGTGCTGGCCCCCACAGAGGAGCTTCCTCCACACCAGCTCTGCCCATCCCAGAGGGGACAGCCCCTCTCTGCTTGTCCCTGCACCTTATTGAGAGCCAAGGGCTAAGCAAAGGGCTGTCCCAGGGCAGCTCTGGGAACCTCTCTGGGAAGTGCCTTGTCCCAAGGGAACTGGTCTCCTCCCCATGCACCCCCAGCTCTGTGGGTGCCCATCCCCAGCAGTGCTGACCACCAGTCAGGGCAGCAGGGCTCATCCCACAGCACCCACTGCAGCTCTCTGCAGCCTCCTTTTCAGAGGGGTCCCTGACCCAGCTGCAGCCCTACCCCAGGCACATAAGGATGAGGATGGTCTGGGGCCACACCCAGGGATAAGAGGTCTGGGAGGGGGGAGAAGAAAGGGCTCCATATCTCCTCCCTGCAGACAGACCAGACAGACAGCAGTGGCCACCGAGTGTTATCAACAGAGCTGGAAACATGAATGCTCTGCTGTGACCCTGACACCAGCAGCATGTCAGCCCTGTGTCCCCACACACCCTCCCATCCTCTGCTCTGCAGGACATCTCTTCTCATTGCCACCACCTTCCCTCTCCTTTCAGATGTCCCTGTCCTGCCCGGAGGTTACCCAGCAGATGGCTATGATGATGCTGGGGAGGTTTCTGACCCTGGGGAGGATCCTGTCCCTGGGCAGAGGGACTGGGAAGTGCCCAGGACACCAGAGGAAGGAGATGGGCTGAGGCATGCAGCCACAGGTGAGAGGGCAATGCAGCACTGCCACTTCCTAGGTGCCAACCCCAGGCCTAGGAGAATCCATGCCATATTGAAAGCCTGACCAGCTCCACATGGAGAACCTGTCCTGGGAGATTTTGTGGGGGCTGGGAGAATGGGCCGAGTGTCTCAGGCTGGTGAGAACGAGGAAGGTGATATACAGCCCGAAGGGGCACCCCACAGGCCCAACCACAGCAGCCTGCCTTGATGCTTACAGGGGGAAGCCTGCACTCCCGGAGAAGTGCTGGGGTCCCTGGAGCTGATGGAGACACCTCGTCACCTTTCCTGGGGACCACAGGCTATGACGATGTTGAAGAGGTGTCTCTGGCATATCCCCATGAGGACACCCAGGATGTGACACCAGAGTCCCATGCACAAGAGTTCCAGAGCCCCAGGCCAGCAGAGCCCAGCCCTGCTGAGCAGCTGGGTGCAGCTGGGAGGGAGGAGAGCTCAGTGCCATTGGGAGAGCCATGAGTGCCAGGGAATGGTGTCCCTTTTCCAGCAGTCAGCAGACGCACATGGGTATTTCCCCTCTTGGTATTCCCCTGTTTTTATGCTGTGTGTTGGTATTTCCTCATATTAAAACCCTCTGGGGGCTTTGCCCCAGGTCCAGTGCTTCCCTGCCCAGGTGTCAGGGTGTCTCCCTGAGGCTGATGGAGGGGAGAAGAGCTCAAAGATCCAGCAGTTGGGAAGGGGCACATCTTAGAGCCAGCAGGATTGTGGTCTTGCTGTGGTGTTGACAGAGCCCCTGGTCCCTGGACATTATTCCTACTGACAGAAACATTTCTGTCCTGCAAGCCACAGGCAGTTTCCAGACAAAGTGGATCTTTGGGAAGCCCCAAGAGACACTCCCTTGCAGTGCCCACCTTCTGCTGCCTTGGGCCCCCATGGAGGCCAAGGATGCCTGCCCAGCACCCATGGGCAGAGATACCTCAGCTGCAAGACTTGAACAGGGAGATGTCTTGGACCCTTGGGCAGGACTTGGCACCAGCTCCTGCTAGTGGGTCCCCACAGCCCTCAAGCTCTTCCCCAACAGGCTCTTCTGCTGCAGGCTGGGAAGTGCTTTTGGTAGTGGGATGGTGGGCTGGAACACCTATTGGAGCATCTATTTAATCCCTTTGGGTCATCTCTCCTGGCTGTGTATAGTCTCCTTTGGGTGAAGAACTGTCTGGAGGGCCATGGAAGCCCAGCGGGTTGTGGTTAATGGAGTTAAGTCCAGTTGGCGTCCCGTTACAAGTGGCATCGCCCAGGGGTTGGTACTGGGGCCTATCTTGTTTAATACCTTTATTAATGACCTAGATGAGGGGATTGAGTGTACCCTCAGTATGTTTGCAGACGATGGCCTGAGCAGCCATTCCTGCAGCCTCTGCCCATGCTGCCCACAGCCCCCCAGCTGCTGGTGCTGCTCTGTAGAGCAAGGGGGCTGTGGTGAGTGGAGCCGTGGGGGCACTCTGTAGGGCCGTGTTGGTCAGGCTGGGGAGGCAGAGCCAGCTGGTGGGGGGCACTGGCACTGACTGCCTCCTGCACAAATGGTTCCTTGGCCATGGATAGCTGGCACAGATAGGCAGCCTTCTTCAGAGTCAGAGACTCATGGAATACTCCGAGCTGGAAGGGACCCACAAGGGTGACCCACTTCCCATGTCAGATGATGCACAAGTGACCCACTTCCAACGTCAGGATATGTTTTGGGGTGATTCACTGTATTAAATCCATGAAATTTCACCAGAGGTGTAACAAATAACTCAGCAGAGAGCTTTCCCTATGCCTGCTGTGTCCCTGGAGTTGCAGAGCTCTCCTTTGCCTGTTCAAACCCAGATTCAGCACCTCAGGGTGGCTCCACCTGGGATGTGCCCGTGCTCTATGGGATCCACGTGCTATTGACTCCCTGGCACACACTGTCCCTGACGAGCGCTTGGGCTCTCCTGGCATCTCCCTCTTTCCTCCAGAAAGAAGCCTGTCTGCCATTATCCCTCTCACCCACTGTGCAGAGAGGCAGGTGAATTCACTGTCTCTGTGGGTGCTGTCCAAGAACAGGGAACAATCACAGGTGCACCCTGGCAGTGCTGCTGTGGCAGGACCCTTCTCCCCTCCACCTCTTCACACTGCCACGTGCCCCTGAAGTTCCACCACAGGTCTACAAGGAAGGGTATCAGGCTGTGAGTCAATGCATGGTCCTTTCTTTTATTAAAATACACAGAAAGCCTGAACCACTATTTATACAAAGACTTGGAGTCACGTGAGAAAGTTACATACAGTGTAGGAAGGTATGAACAATGATATTTCTTTGCGGGAAACACTATAAGAAGTAAAGCAAAGTAAAAAAAAATAATAAATAGAAAAAAATAGAAAGATTTCTGGGTCTGTATACAGTTAACATTAAGAACACAGATAGTTTATTCCTTCTGAAAAACCTCCAGTCATCACTTTCCATACTACATCCTTGAGCTCCTCATTCCTCATGCTGTTGATGAGGGGGTTCACTGCTGGAGGCACCACGGAGTACAGAACTGCCAGCAAAAGATTAAGGGAGGAAGAGGACATAGAGGGGGGCTTCAGGTAGGCACAGAAGGCAGTGCTGAGAAACAGGGAGAGCACAGCCAGGTGAGGGAGGTATGTGGAAAAGGCTTTGTGTCATCCTTTGTGTCATTCCCCTAGAAGGGGGCTTAGCTGCCTCCCCGTGCCTCACAGAATCCCACTGGAGTTGGGATTCCTCTTCCTTGGTTCAGGTGGGCACAAACCAGGCAGCATGCAAGCTGCTTGTCTCAGCTCTCAGCACTTTGAATGGAGAAAGAGACCAAGAGGGAGCTGTTCAGAGGCAGACACCAGGTAATATTGGAGATGGCAGAGTGACATCTGAGTGACATCTGAAGTGCCAAATTCCTCTGGGCCATAAACAGATATTTTATTATTGCATATACAATATAATATAGCTGCAGTCATTGATCAATAGCAAAGAAATAAAAGTCAAACGATGACTTGGTTGCCATCACTGAAGGGTGGTGGGACCACTCCCATGATTGGAGTGCTGCAATGACTGGTTATGGGCTCTTCAGAAGAGACAGAACAGAAGGGGTGGTGGTGTGGCTCTCTATATTAGGGAGTGTTTTGATGTTGCAGAATTCAAATCTGGGAATGATAATGTTGAGTACCTATGGGTTAGGGTCAGCGGGAAGGCCAACAAGGCAGGCAACATGGTGGGGATATCTTATCGACTGCCAAACCAGGATGAGGAGATGGATGAGGTGTTCTACAAGCAGAATTTGAGCTGGTCAGGACACTGGTTGGCAGAGTCTCTTGGGAGGCAGTTCTGAAGGGCAGAGGAGTCCAGAAAGGCTGAGCACTCTTCAAGAAGGAAATCTTCAAGGCTCAGGAGCAGACTGTCCATCCCCATGTACCCAAAGATGAGCCAGCATGGAAGAAGACTGGCCTGGCTGAACAGAAAGGTATGGCTAGAGCTTAAGAAGAAAAAGAGAGTTTAGAACCTTTGGAAAAGAGGGCAGGCCACTCAGGAGGACT